TATTATGAATATTACAACTGTATATGATGTGGATCACCCTGTATTGTGAATATTACAACTGTATATGATGTGGATCACCCTGTATTGTGAATATTACAACTGTATATGATGTGGATCACCCTGTATTGTGAATATTACAACTGTATATGAAGTGGATCACCCTGTATTATGAATATTACAACTGTATATGATGTGGATCACTGTACTATAAATATTACAACTGTATATGATGTGGATCACCCTGTATTATGAATATTACAACTGTATATGATGTGGATCACTGTACTATAAATATTACAACTGTACCCTCAGATGTTGACCGGCCGAGAGCCACAAGTTAATTGGAGATGATGTGGGGAGCGGAGGAAGAAAATATTTGCTGACTTTGCAGATTTTTTATCAGTATTTTCGACAGGTAAAATTTAGATTATAGAAACACAAGGAAGGTTCTATATCCGAATATTCTAGGCTTAATTAGTCTACAGGGGGTAAATCGTATCCAAGACGGGGAGAGGGAGGGGTCTGATAGTAGATAATATTTAAATTATTAAATACAATTTCAAATTATAATCAATGCTGGCATTCAGACATTCACGGAATGCAGTTTGAATTGAAAAAAAGTTTGAGTGCATGGGAGGAATCTGAACATTGAAACACTACACTGGAATATTTGGGGATTTCTAAGGAACATTTTTCTTGTTTCGACCATACCGGGGTACAGGAATTCTGGTTGGTATACTGACATTTAATTTCATCAATCCTGGAGAATCCGCAGTTAGAATTTTCACCACCGTAGCTGAGAACATTTAAATGTGGAGGAAGACAACCTACGAACCAAAAACTTTGATTGAAAATTATTAAAGTGCACGACTGGCAACATTTTGACATTCCTGAGAGCTAGTCAGAATTTATAATTTTGATTTTGTACTTACAGGGTTACCCACAAAGAATAAGACTGTAAAGACGACCTGAAACTCAATTTTTATGACATGTCTGAGGTTAAATCAAGTCTTCTGCCTTGAATGGTTTTTTTAATGATTTTGCAAAGACAGAAACAAAGTTACAGTTGCAAGAAACCGTGAAAATAAGGAAACAGACAGTGTAAATTTTGTACAGTCGTCTCTGAAATCTCATTCTTTGAGAGCAACCCTGTATAATACAGATTAAGCAATCTTCTTAATCATTGTAAGTAAATATGAGGTTTTTTTCCAATCCAATTTGACATATAAAAACTATGAAACTCTAAGAATTAAGATTTCATAAAATGTTATATCATTTTAGAATTTCAAGTAAAATCAGGGTGTATAGCAACTATAGTATGTTGAAGAAATTAAAGTTATTACCGCAAAATTTCATAAACTTTATTTTTTAGAGAAACTTTATTTTTACTTGGTAAAATGGCATCAAAAGAAAGAACTCAAAATGGGAAGTAAATGGTAAATTTATAATTTATTTAAACTGAATAGTTTTGCTTGATAGTTCTGTCTCAAGAAATCGATATAAAACTGTGTCAAATTTATGCGAAAATTCATATGTATGCAATTTTGAATAAAAGTTGTACTGTTAAACAGATCATATTCAACAAATACGAAACCAATCTGAAATGATTATATCCCTGTACAGGAGCCTGATAATTATTACAGGAGCAAACCTGAGATTTTCAGGGTTTTCAGATTGGTTTCGTATTTGCTGAATATGATCTGTTTAAACCTACAAATTTTATACAAAATTGCATATATATGAATTTCGTATAAATTTGACATAGTTTTATATCAATTTCTCGAGACAGGAACATCAGACAGATGACTTAGATGTATCGTTCAACTCCTGATGAGATTCTCAGGTTTCATCCTATACCCCCTTTCATATTTCCTTTACAGTCCTTTAAGATGTGGGAACTCTTGTATTGTGGATATCATTGCTTGATTTTGATCTTTTGAATAGAGATTAATTTAATCTTTATTTGATATCCTGTATAGAGTGTCATCTGTAGAAAAAAGACAGCCAATTAGAAGCAATGGCATTTTGCCTTTAACCAATGAAAGAAACGAGATAATGCGGATATTTAAAAGAGAGGTGGATATTGAGATCAGGTGATATGTATTATCAGAATCCAATTCCAAAAGTTCCCAGCTCAGTTTAAATATTGAGAGGAATCAAGTTGGAGAAAATTCAAGCTGCGGATCTGCCGGAATTCCAATTTTAACAAACCCTTAGATTGTCAAACAATAAGAGATACAGGAACCAGTTCCAATACATTTAGAAAACAAGCAAAAACAGGTTCAACGTCATTCGGGAAAATACAATCAAGCTTGGTGGTAGAATACAAGAATTGGAAACACTTTTTCTAAATCAGTAATTTCACATTTACAAAATGTTTTTACCCGATTGGACTGTTCAGAATATTTGATAAAAATATGAGGAATCAAAAAACATTTTTAAAAGGACAAACGGTTTTGCTAAAAATTACCAATTTTTGCAATTTTTCTTCTTTCAAAACTCGAAAAATAAAGTTATGGACATTAATTTGATATTTGTCAAACATTGATTAGTATGAGATTGGGTTTAAATTTGATCCAAACCAACCGATAGACAAAACCAATTAATGTTCATAGACTATAAGGAGGGGGAAAGGATTCGTAAATATTTTTTAATCACTCGTTCATCGTTTTCTGTGACATACATACAAACCAAAACATTTTGAACTTTATATACAAAACACCCCCAAAACCCAATTTCCGTAATTTCTAAGTCATATTTTGATTACTACAGTATGAAACCGGGTTGCTTTGTGATTTATTCTTGTTTAAAAAGAATAAATTTGTCTGAATGTTTGTAGCAATCTATATTCTAGTCTATTTGTAAAGTAGAATACAATATGGAAATTGGTGAATATAAATCCTATGTTTATATAATATAAACCTTTCAACCCTTTTATTCAAGATTATATTCCAAAGATTTATTTGCAGAAAATATAAAGATACTAAACATAATACTTGGAAGAATCATTCTTGTT